CTTAACAAATTTCCAGCACTTTACACCCAGTTCCCCTTTTGCTCCGTCTGTTTAGCCAAATAAACCATTCCTATCTCCCTCACTACTTCATTCGGTTACGATTATGTCATGGGGTCGTATGAGTGCGCGCGAACGCGCGCAAATCCAAAACGGGAGAGTGGTAAAAGGGGATAATGCGGTTGGGGCCTATCAGGTTAAGAAAGAACGCGCAATAATTCCAAAAACTAAGAAAATTACGTATAGCCGCTTAAATTTGTTTAACTGAACTAAAAGGTGACTAAGTAATTCCTTATTTGAGTGAAAGTAGGGACAAAACAGCGTGAAAACCAAGAAAATTAAGTGACGATAGCTAATTGGAGGGAAAATGATCAGGGAATGGAGTATCTGGTGTCAAGGTCACGCAAAACCGAGCCGCTTTGCCGGTGACCAAGTAAATACCAGTAGCCGAAATAAGTATTTTCGGCCGGCCAAAACATGCGTGAAGTAGACAGTCAGACAGACATATGGGAAATTACCAAGTAAAAACTGTAAAACCTTCATGAAGTGCATGTAATTGACCGAAATTATTGGACTCAATTTAATTAAGTTGTCCCGTGAAATTGCTGATTAAAATGAAGGTATGGTTTGGAGTAAGTAGCACGAACGGGTGCGCAAATTATGTACATCCAGCTGGCTTTCTGTTTTATTCTAGTAGGACCGAATGGACGCTGTCCGGAGAAGCCTTTTTTGCAACGGTCGGCAGCCAGACAGACATATCCGGATCTATTAGGTATGAACCCAACAAGGCCTGCGGTAAACATGTTAAGTGCATAAGCAGTCTGTCATAATACTTGCACGTCTAAGCAGCATTATATTTTGAAGTGTTTCAGCTGCGTCGGCAGCTGAAGAAGACCAACGAGCAGGCAATAGAAGCAAATACCATGAGTTTTTTTCCTTTCCGCACAGCTTTGGATGAACGCAAACCGCGCAAGCCAATGTTCGAACAGAAATCCCCTCCAATACTGCACCCAACAGCCCTCGGCAGGTGCAGCCTTGCATGCTAGTTAACCGACAAAGAAGGTAAGCTGAAAGA